TGTAAGATTCACAATGAAATTTGAATTTATTGCTTTAGATAAAGTAGGAGAGGAAGTTGAGTCACTTCGCCAATTTCTAGAGATTATTCCAATATGGGATAAACCTATGCTAGAAATTTGTATTCATTGAGATAACCAATCTGCAATTGGTAGGGCATAGAGTGACATATATAATGATAAGTCTAAAAATATACATCATAGACATAATGCTGTTAGACAATTGCTTTCAAATAAGATTATTTTTATTGATTATATAAAATTAAAGGATAATCTAGCGGATCCGCTTACTAAAGATTTGACGAGAGAGTAAGTAAATTGCACATCGAAGGGAATAAGGCTAAAAATTATGAAATAAGTGTCACTTTAAGTAAATTGCACATCGAAGGGAATGAGACTAAAGATTATGACATGAGTGTCACCTTAATGACAATCCAACCTAGTTGACTAGAGATCCCAAAATTTAGGTTCAAAGAGACAACCAAATTATGCGTGATTCAAAAGAAATACTAAAAAGATAATCTCTCCTATCTATTCCTATGATAAACTAGTGCTGCTTGCAGAGTTTATTAGGGTAAGTTATACTTTTAATGACTCTTATATCTTGGGAATTCCAAGTGAGATATCGCAGAATATTCCTAATATGAGTCATCTATATGGGTGTGAAGGGGCCGTTTCTGTGAGAATTTATAAAGACAGAATTCTCTAAAGTATTCATGACAACCAGGAGTTGTTTAGGACCAAAATGAACAAAATTATGAGAACCAATTGTGTTAGAAAAGAGACTGTGTGAATTCTATTTAGTCTAATGTATCAAAAAATTGAATAGTTCAACACATCACGTTCACTATTTAGCTGATAAGTCGATAGACTTTCAATAAGGAAGGTTCAAGCCCAAAAGCTACCTATCTCGATGCACAATCTTTTCAAAGATGTACTCTCTATATAGTATATCAGCATTATCATTTGCATACTATTAACTAATTTTTCATTAATGTGGGGGATTATTAGACCAAAAACAGTTACGTAAGTGTAAAAATGAAATTTTTGGTCGATTTTGACCCTAAATTAAAATGGGACCCGTTTGTCTTTTCGAGTAAATTTTCGTGGGTTCATAGTATATTCACTTGCTCAAATCAAAAAAGAAATTAATGAAAAAATAGCCTCCAAAATGACCATTTTAAAATATAAAAATAAAGGTTGTGCAATGTGAAATTTGACACCAATCTCACATTAGTTAAGAAAAAAGTTCTATATGAGCACATATACGCCAAGTTTGCTCTATGAGATTGGGCTCCAAGGGGTACCACATTTTTATGAGCGGAGCGAGCGCCTACATGATTTTGGTTCTACCACGACCCGACTTGACCGGGCTTGTGTACGGGTATGGTTTAGACCAAGCCCTATCTTTTTGGAGAAAATTTATTTAATTAATTGGGTGAAAATTTCTAACTGAAATTAAATTTTGGTACCTGTTACATTATAATTCGTACTGATTCAGAGGATAATATCCTTTAGTTCGAAATTTTGAGTTGTGTCTGCTCATAGAGAATAATTATACAAGTGATGTCTTTTGGCTGTTACATTTGTCTTCTGAGTTGTGTATTTTAATATGGTGGTTGTTCGAAAAGTCATCAGAATGTCTATAAATACTCAGGCTCTCATTACCATTCTGCATTCATTCATTAATTAGTTCATGTTTAGAGTTAAATCAAACATTAGTGCATTGCATATCGGCATTAAGACAGTCTACATTTGGAGAGTACATAACATAATTTCTAGTTCGCTAGACGGGTAGATTGGAGTGCTACTTATATTCGTGTGAAGATTATTGTATCTTGGGAGATAGACGCTTTATATTCTATAAGCACCGTGTGTGGGAGCAAATTTTGTCTTAAGGACATAATGTCAAACACTAGTTTTAATCTACTTAAAGTTCAATAGTAATTTTTGTTCTGTAATCGGGTTAGTATTTATATTGTTTAAACAAATAATTAATTCTTCTGTAACTATTTAGTTAATTCTTCTGTAACTGTTTCAATTTTCTGTATAACTGTTCGTACTTGATTGTTATTATTTGTTTCAAATCAAAAATTTGAATAAATATTTTTACTATATTTGAAATACTCCAAACAACATTATCTACCAGAAATCCTCCTCTGAAAATGACAGACTAGCCTGCTTCTAGCAGAAATCAGTGCGGTGCCTCGAGTTCTTGGTTGTTTCTAGATGGTAAGACCCCTGTAATCAAATGCTTAACTTTTGCTTACTGAGCAATCCAAGTCTTAACCATAGGAGGGGAACATATTTGAAAGTGCGTTAAGATTCATTTGCCTGCTTTGTGTGTGTGTGTGTGAGAGAGAGAGAGAGAGAGAGAGAGAATTGGTTAAATGAATAAAGTACAAAAATATATTGTGATATTATGGTGTGGCCTTACTGAATTCACGAATATTGGCTTGAAGCTTTATTTATGTTTTGTAGGAAGGCTTATTGTGATTCATATGCAGAGAATAATAGATAAAATTGACTGTTTTTTTTTTTATTGAAGAATTAGAGGAGTCTGGGCTAACTTACGCGCACTTCGACTAATTCCTTTCCGGTCCAGTCAAAGGCAGAGCATCTACACTAGAATTAAGGTATTCATGAGGGATAAATTTATTATTGTTTCACTCTAATAAGTTGTCAAGATTCGAATTCAAAGTGTCTGAATTTATAGCTCGCCTTTGTCAGCTTTCATTTTTTTTATTTTTAAAAATTAGATTCAACCCACTTGAGAAACAAGATTGCCAGAAAGCACAAACAACAGTACAAGATATAGAGATGGCCAGGGGATTTTTAGAAGTACAGAGAACACAAAATGACCAAAAAGCTTCAGAAAGCACTAGATAAAGAGCAGATTTCATTCTCATTGACTTGAATATAATCTTTTTGCAGGGAAGGGTAAAAAATGAAATGACAGGAAAAGATTAGTTTATCCCATAGCTGAAAAGGGTGAAAAAGAGGATTGTATCTCCCACTTATTCAGGTAGTTTATTATTTTTTGGATTTGTAAATCTAAATATTCATTTATCTGCTTGTGAGATTCCTCCTCTTTTTTTTTTTTTTTAGGGGGGGTTATTTATCCTTTAGTAACTCAAGCTTGGCATTACCATCTTATGGAGACGTAAAGTTAGTGGTCGGTTTAATAGTCACCGCTCTTATAATTGGACTTTAAGATCGTGAATTTAAAGTTTGTCGTTTCTCTCCATGTAATAGTGTTTGATCCCCCAAAAAAAATTCATACAAGGCGTTGAATACTGTACACTAAGCAATTAGTGCTGGTTTACAAGGATGGCACCCAATGGAGTAATGTTGTTTGTTGAAAACGAAATAATTAAAGAAGGCACTAACACACTATTACTTTTGTAATTTGGTACAGTTATTTCAAAATACAAAAAATTAATTCATGAATATATATATATATATATATATATATATTTTCATGTGTTTGGTTAGCATGAAATAAAAAACGATGGAAAAAGTAATTTTCTTTCATACTTGAATTTTCTCACAATTAACTAACTTTTTTGTTCTTGTAAAAAATACAAATGTCCGTTTGGTTAAGAAGAAAAAAATGATGGAAAGTAAAAATGATAAAAAACGAAGTAAAATGATAGAAAATATATTTTCATGCATTTATTTGGTTAGAATAAAAAATTTACGAGAAAATTTTAAAAAAATTTAATTATAAGGAAATGAAAGAAAGTTGTGGTCTATAAATAACTTTCTATTTTTTCCCCTTATTTTTCTTAAAATATTTTATTAGTTATTAATTTAAAAAAAACTTGGTATGAATTTGATTAATCATATAATTTGGCTAAAATACTTTTCGTACTAGTGCTTGTCCCAGAATTATGTTTCTAGCAATTTTTTTAATAATACATATTTTTTTTCTTTAGACTGATTTAATATAATTAAAAATAATTTAAACAATTATAAATATTTTCTTATAATTTTCTTTTCTTTCAAATAATAAAATAAAATTTTTTAAAAATTTTCTCGTAAGTTTTTCATTTTAACCAAATATATGCATGAAAATATATTTTCTATAATTTTTCTTTTCTTTTATTTCACTTTCATGAAACATTCACTATGGGACATGAAGTCCAATGTGTATACAACAATACTATGCAACCCAAATGTTGGTTCCCAAATGGCATCCCAATTAATAAGAATTATTGGATCTGTGGCTTTCATTTAAAAAAGTTGGTAAGATTCATTCATCTGATAGTCCTCTTTTATTTGAGATGCCATTTAGGATGCAAATTTAGATTGCATAGCATTTTTCAAGTGTATATAGGCATTAAAATAGTAATGTATTAGTGCTTGACCCCATGCATTGCTTGGGCCATCTCCTTTTTCTCCTTTTGTTCTTTCTCATCCATTATTTATAAGTCAACAAAAATATTGTCGAAATTATTGAGTTACAAAATTTAACATTTTAAAAAAATTAAATAAGTAGTGGTCAAAGGGATATGGGTAGCTTATCTAAGTTAGTTATTGGAGATATTTAGTAAAATATGATTGGAGGATGAAAATTTTTATAATTCAAAATTCTTAAAAATTCAAAAAGTGGGATGAAAATTTTTTCAATCTCTCTCTCTCCAAAAAAATTGATTGTTATATATATATAGTACAAATAAGTGAAAGCAGGTACAAAAGAAGTTTGAATTTCTAATTTTGTTCGGTGATACCATGTCACCGTTATCACGTGGTGTCATCATGCAATAATAAATTATGGTTAACAAAGAATAGTTTGAAAATTTCACGAGTTCAACTCATTCTATCATGTCAAACATCCGGTCACCTTAAAGTTTTATAGAATCACTTAATCTTAATAAGCCTTGTTCTTGTATGCATACCACTAATTGCAACCATTCCTTAGCTCCCACAACCTGATTTTTGAGGATGGACTGTCTAGTATCAATGAGTTATGGCATGGAAGACATCTCTCCTAGATTTCCTCAGGCAAGCCGGAAACACAAGGTGTTCGAGGGAAACCATGCTTGCTTAGTAGAAACTATGTTGTTGCCTAAGGAAGCCATGGCCTCGCGGGTTTCTTTGTTCAACCACAGTTTGACTAGTGACTTCCCTTCTTCGCCTCCCAAAATTTTGGGCTCTGATACTGACCGGTTCTGTCCCTGCATGATCAAGGGACATCAAACGGCCAAAATACCACTTGGAAATTTCATACCCCTATGGCCTATACCATACATGCAAGAGAAGGTTATAGCATGCTTAAGAGATCAAGAGGTTGCTTTTATAATCCTCAACCACATTCAATCTATCTTAGGATGCTAGCTAGAAAGATTAAAAACTAAGGTGTCTGCAAATAAAATAACAGAAAAATTACATTATTTATTTTTTTTAAGATTGTTAATTCAATTTTACAAGACTGAGACATTATCCTATTAAATATGGAGGATTTAAATCCTCAGCTTCTCCATCAAACTTTGTTGTCAATGATAAGGGCGGGGCAGGAATTTAGTTTAGGGTAGTGGGCATTTTAATTCAAAAATTTAATTAATATTTTTAATTGATAAAAATATAATAATAAATTTATAGTTTTTTAAATAGAGGTCAATCAGTAAAAATTAAAAATTAATTGTAGACCATTTACATGTAATTTGACATTTAAATTAAGAGTATAGACAAAGAAAGTCATAAATTATATCAAAAAATATATTAATTAGAGAAAATTCTAATATAATAAAATACACTAAATAAGAAATTAAAGGGTGATTGCCGCTCATAGTTTAGGGGGGGGGGGGGGGAAATCGTTAGGCGAGAATCATGAATGAAAAAATGACGAAGCATGTCCGTAACATTAAAAAAATGAGTTTCAATATGTCTAAAATATATCCAAACATGTCTAAAGCGTGCTCGTAACATGTTCAATCATTTTGTGTTCGCTTATACAAAAATATTAAGGTGGGCACAATAAAATTATTTTAAAAAATATTTAACAAAGTGATATATATATATATATATATATATATACACACACACACATAAAAATGGAGTTTTTGTTGTGATCGTGCAACAATTATGGTGAATAATAAAGAATCAAACAATTAAGAAAGTAAGAGAAAATAACACACAGAGATTTACGTGGTTCGGCAGTGTGTCTACATCCACGAGAGCGAGCGGCCGTTCTTTTTTTTTTATTATTAAAAGTAAGGTTACATCTTAAGTATTTATATAACCCTAATACGGACGTATTTATAAAAACATCCATGTACCGTACCGCTTTATACAAATACCGCAAGACAGATGCCGTCGCGGGCTCCGCTCCGTCCGCTCCAGCATCTGCCTCCTTGCCATTGTGCACACAACAAATATGAGCCACACATACTCTAACAATCTCCACCTTGACAAATATTCACCCCTTAGGAGAAAAAAAAAGACATGTATTCGGGAACTCCATCGGGGACGCTAAGTTGAGGCATCTCCCATCTAGCAACTAGAGACATTAATCAAGTCCAAGTAGTGCTTGAACTTGTCTGTAGTAACAGGCTTTGTCAACATGTCTGTTGCATTCTCAGAAGTGTGAACTTTCTCAAGTAATAGTTCACTAGAAGAAACCAGTTCTCTGATCTTATGAAACCTCACATCTATATGTTTGGTCCTCGCATGATGCACTTGGTTCTTTGCCAAATAAATGGCATTCTGACTGTCACAATGCAACTGAACTCTACCTTGCTGGGCACCCAGCTCCTTGACTAAACCTGTAAGCCACAAAGCCTCCTTGGCAGCCTCAGCTACTGCCATATACTTTGACTCAGTAGTAGATAGTGCAACTATAGGCTGTACCAGCTCCTTGACTAAACCTGTAAGCCACAAAGCCTCCTTGGCAGCCTCAGCTACTGCCATATACTTTGACTCAGTAGTAGATAGTGCAACTATAGGCTGTACCATGGACTTCCAACAAATAGGTCCTCCTACAAGGGTAAACACATAACCTGTGGTAGACCTACTGTCATCCAAGTCCCCCTGCATAGTCTGCATCCACATATCCCATAACTGAAGGGTTACTCTGTTGTCTGCTAAACATGATGCCATAGTCTGTAGTGCCCCTCAAGTATCTGAAAATTCACTTGACTGCATCTCAATGCTGTCGACCCGAATTTGAAAGAAACTTATTAACCACCCTGACAGCTTGTGCCAAATCTGGTCTTGTACAAACCATAGCATACATCAAACACCCTACTGCACTAACATATGAGACCTTTGACATGTCATGAACTTCATCATCTGTCTTCGGGCACTGAGCGGTAGACAATTTGAAATGATTCGCCAAAGGTGTACTTACTAGTTTTGCATAACTCATGCTGAACTTGTCCAACACCTTCTCAACATAGCTATGCTGAGATAGCTATAATCTCTTGGAACTTCTGTCCCTGCGAATCTCCATCCCAAGAATCTTCTTAGCCGCACCCAAATCCTTCATGTCAAATTCTCTGCTTAACAAAGTCTTCAACTTGTTGACCTCACTCATACTCTTGGCAGCAATCAACATATCATCCACATAAAGTAATAGAAAAATAAATGAATCATCATCAAGGCTTTTCACATAGACACAACAATCATACTCACACCTTTTGTAGCCAATCCGGATCATGTAAGAGTCAAATCGCTTGTACCACTGCCTCGGAGACTGCTTCAGCCCATAAAGTGATTTCTTCAAATTACAGACCAAATGTTCCTCTCCAGGGAGATTGAACCCTTCTGGTTGTACCATGTAAATCCGTTCTTTCAAGTCGCCATGAAGGAAAGCTGTCTTTACATCCATCTGCTCCAACTGCATATCTGAATGTGCTACTAGTGCCAACACTGTCCTGATGGAAGTGTGTTTGACCATGGGGGAGAAGATCTCATCATAGTCAACCCCTTTTCTCTGTGAGTAACCCTTTGCTACTAGACGAGCCTTGAATTTTTCCCCCTCCTTTTCTGATACTGCTTCTTTCTTCTTATACACCCATTTGCACCCTATTGCTCTCTTCCCCTCGGGAAGCTCCACCAACTCCCACGTCTGGTTCTCATGCAGAGACTCCATCTCCTCCACCATAGCACTTATCCATCTATTTTTCTCTTGGCTTTGTACTGCCTCCTGAAAAGTTGTAGGATCCCCGCTACTAGTAATAAGCGCATAAGAAACCAAATCTTCAAAACCATACCTGGTAGGCGGCTTGATATTGCGTTTGGGCCTGTCTGTGGCTATACTATGATGCTGCTGATCACCTGAGATAGAACGCTTTACATGCTGAGCATCCTCTTCTTTACCATGATTCTCTAGCTCCACCTACACCACATGCTCATCAGTGCTACAGTTTTTTTGGTACTTGTTTCTCTTCTTCCTAAGTATGCTGCAACATGGCTTTTTCATCAAAAACCACATCTCTACAGATCACCATCTTGTTTGCCTTCGGATCCCAGAGCTTGAAGCCTTTCACTCCTTTTTGATATCCTAGAAAGATACACTGTCTAGACTTCGCATCAAGCTTCGACCTCTCCTCACTAGAAACATGTACATAGGCTGGACATCCAAACACTCTCAAACTAGAGTAGTCTACCTCACTGCCCGTCCACACCTCCTCTGATACTTTTCCACCTAGTGCTGCCCTCGGTGATCTGTTAATCAAGAAACATGCCATATTCACTGCCTCTGCCCAGAAATTCTTTGCAAGCCTTGCATTCAACCTGAGACACCGAGCTTTCTCGGCTATCGTTCTGTTCATCCTTTTCGCTACACCATTTTGTTGTGGTGTCTTGCGGACTGTGAAGTGTCTCTTAATCCCATGCTGCTCACACAATTCCTGGAACTTTGAATCTGTGTACTCAGAACCGTTATCTGACCTGAGACATTTAATCTTCCTCCCTGTCTGGTTTTCTACTTCAACTTTCCACAGCTTGAACTTGGCAAATGCTTCAGACTTGTGCCGCATGAAGTACACCCAGACCTTTCGTGAGTAATCATCAATGAAACTCACAAAATACATGTATTCTCCCCGTGATACTACGCTAACTGGTCCCCAAACATCTGTATGGACATAGTCGAGAACCCCCTCTGTCTTGTGTGTGACTGTCTTGAACTACACCCTATTCTGTTTTTAAGAACACAATATTTGCAAAAATTAAGCATGCATGTCTTGACACCCTTCAATAGATTTTTCTTATGAAGCTCTATCATCTCACGCTCACTCATATGACCCAGCCGCATATGCCACAAGACTGAGTTATCTGATTCAGACTCTACAGCAGCAACTCCACCTACAATTGTAATATCCAGCAGTCTGTAAATGTTTCTTGCTACTTTCTGTCCCTTCATCACTATCAGTATGCCTTTACTCACTTTCATTACTCCATTTATAGATTTGTAACTATAACCATTACAATCCAAAGTGCCCAATGAAATCAAATTCTTCCTTAGATCCGGTACATGTCTAACATCACATAACGTTCTAACCATACCATCAAACATCTTAATTCTAATATTTCATATTCCAACAACTTTGCAAGATACATTATTACCCATCAGAACAGAACCAGAATTTACTGACCTGTAGGTGTCAAACCAATCTTTGTTGGGTGTCATGTGATAGGAACATGCTGAATCCATAATCCAAGAATCTGTTAAACAATCTGAACTGGATAAAACATAAAGCATATCACTGTCACCACTCTTTGAATCTTCTTCTTCCACTACGTTTGCAGACTTTGATGCACCCTCTTTGTCCTCTGAATCCCCTTTCTTTTTCTCTGGATAGTCCCGTTTAAAGTACCCCTTTTTCCTGCACTTGTAACACGAGACAGAGACGTTCTTCTTCTTCTTCCTCGACTTGGACCGGGTTTTATTGTTACCCGATCCATTCCGAGATTTGCTTCTTCCACGTTCCTGGTTACCTTTCACCACAAGCCCTTCACCTTGTGAAGCCTTGTCACTAGCTTTCTTCCGCTGATGAAAACCTAACAGAGCACCTGTGACATCCTCTAACTCGAGGGTTTCTTTCCACCATATCAGAGTCGTAACCAAATTCTCGTACGTAGAAGACGCCGGCAGGGAATTCAGCAACATCAACGCCTTGTCTTCTTCTTCGAACTTCACATCAACTCACTTCATATCGCTAATGATCTGATTGAACACATTGATGTGTTGGGTCAAATCCGAGCCCTCTGACATCTTAAGACCATATAGTTTTTGCTTAAGATAGAGCTTGTTCGTCAACAACTTGGACATATACCGACTTTCTAGTTTCAACCAAACTTCCGCCGGTGATTCCTCATCCATGACGTGATACATCACTTCATCAGCCAGACAAAGCCTAATAGTCCCCACAGTCTTCGCTTCCAATTCTTTTCAATCCATGTCGTCCATTCCTGCCGGTTGTTTTCCATATAACACCTTCACCATGCCCTGTTACACTAACAGGTCCTTAACCATCCTCTGCCATAACCGAAATTTTCAGTTCCGTCGAACTTCATGATGTCGAATTTTGTAGAAGAAATCCCAGACATCGTAGTCTAGCTCTGATACCAGTTGTTGTGATCGTGCAACAATTATGGTGAATAATAAAGAATCAAACAATTAAGAAAGTAAGAGAAAATAACACACAGAGATTTACGTGGTTCAACAATGTGCCTACATCTACGAGAGTGAGCGGCCGTTCTTTTTTTTATTATTAAAAGTAGAGTTACATCTTAAGTATTTATATAACCCTAATACGGACTTATTTATAAAAATACCCCTGTACCGTACCGCGAGAGTGTTGCCCCCGCACCCCCAACTAATCAGCGTCCCCTTTATACAAATCCCGCAAGGCAGATGCCATCGCGGGCTCCGCTCCCCCCGCTCCGGCACCTATCTCCTTGCCATTGTGCACACAACAAATATGAGCCACACATACTCTAACAGTTTTTTTCGCTGAGATTTGATACGCTTGTTACTCGTCCGTTGAGTAAAGAGTCGTTTGGTCTTCCCTTGAGTTTACGTCCGTCAAGAGCTGTTTCGTGAGATAGCTGAATCGTTGATTAAATGAAAGGGTAGTTTGGAAAATTTAACTCAAAATAAACTTGTACCAAATTATGTTTTTACAATAAACTTATTCCCAAATAAGTTGATAAAACAAAATCAGCCCCTATTTTTCAAAAATATTCCAAAATTTGAGGGTGGGCCTAGGTCCCTAGTTCTAATGTCCCTCTGCCATTGGTCACTGACAATGTATTATTACCAATGACCTTAATTTTAAACCAATTTTTACAGGTCAGAAACAGTACTAAAACATATATGTTTGGCTCACTGATTATGTGCTAATTATAAAAAATAAAAATAAAAAACAACCCTTTTTCAAGGTGGGAAAAATTCCCCATTGGTCGGTCGGTTAAATACCATCACCTTAAAGGCTCTTAAAATATGGCACAACCCTTGATAAGAACCAATTTATTAGTGCTAAAGGACAATCCTATTACAATTATCCAGTGGGGTTTATTCACAAGAACAAAAGGTTGGGCAGATGAAACAGACAGTTAAAAGGGACAGACAATCCACCATCGAGTGCGCTCGGAGAGTGGCCGAACTTTTCACCTTGAGGTTAGAAATTTGAGTATTAAAATTTACATTGGATCGTGATGGTTGACCATTATTTTAGTTTAATTATATTTGTTTTTGAAAAGAATAACAGTCACGGTCAGAGTCTCACATGTAAAAATTTATCGGAGTGATCTCTGGACGCTTTTTTTTTTTTTTTTTTTTTATCTCCATCTCTTTTCTAATCACAGACACCCATATATGGTGGTGGTCATTCAAAAGGGTCGGTACCGTCCACAAATGTAGACATTCCTCCTAGCCATTTCTTTTATATAGAAGTCTCATTCGTGACTTGTTCCTCCTAAAACATTCACGTCAGGAAAGAGAAAAGAAAGGACAAGTGGCTAGAAAACCACGAAATAGTGCTTAAACAATTTGGACAGTGGACTATTTCATGGTTTTCTAGACACTTGAATCTGAATATAATATTTTATATTTTACTGATTCGAATTTAAATTTATATAATAAAATAATTTATAATTTAAATCTCAAAAGATAAATAAAATAATTTTTACTATTCGCGGTTGAAATCGTTTTAAATTTCATTTTAAAGTTAATCTAATGGTTAATATTAACACTCTAAATTTAATAAAAAAAATAGGGTCTTGAGAATGTGTTTACAGTGACTTTTTAAAAATATTTTTAAAAATTATTTATCATAAATACTTTAAAAAAATAGTGTTTGAAACCACCACCATCACCACCACCACCATTGCCACTATTACCACCACTTCCACCATCACTGGCGCAGTTACCGTCGCCGCCACCACCACCACCACGGTCATTGCTACCCACCACAACTATCATCGTCTCCTGCCACCACCACTGTCACTCACCATCTATCACCCTCATTACAAATCGACACTTAAATTCTTTTATCTTTTTTCTCTGTTTGTGATTTGATTTTGTATATGAATACAAATATATTTATTATTTATCATTTTTTATTACTTTGTGTCTTCAGGTACAGACAATAACTAGTGTATCTATATCCGATCCGATTATGATCCGATCTTGATTATTCATATATTTCTATATAAACATTTAAAATTTTTAATTAAAATTTAGTTAACTAAGTTATTCAGATCAAATTTTAGATTGCTAACAGATTCGAACATGAATTACGAAAAAAAAATCGTTAAATTATCTGATCAAATTGACTTTTTGAATCGAATTCAAATTTTGATAAATCAAAATTCAAATCAATCCAAATCTAACCCGTTCACTAAACTAATAAGAGTGCACCACACCATCATCTTCGACCATTGTTGTGGGATTTGACTCTATCGCCATGTCGAACTTTTTCTACTCTCCAGCATTTCACGTGAATCGCCCTCATACCTTTTTCTGTGTGCAAAAGGTCAAGTGCCTAACACTACAGCGCCTTTAATTACCATGTGCACAAAAGCAAAGTGCCTAACTACAATGTCTTTAACTACCATTGCTTTTCATATGAGAGGATGAGAGGCAAGATGTTCTTATGGGCGTAGAGCCTATTCAGTGCAGGAGATTTTTGTCATTGTAAGGTCTGAGGAGAACAGAGAGATTGTTTCTACGATTTGAATCGGTGATCTCCATGTCACATATTCACAATGGAATAACCTTATTGTTGTGCTAAACCTGCCCTAAGGCAAGATGCTTCTATCTGTTCCTAAAATGAGAGCTCAATCAAAAGGACTGCTAAATGTGAGATTGCAAGTAATTTAGGAGAAAGGGAAAGCAAAATCCTTCTGTTATACTACAAGCACAGGTGGTCTTAGATTGTGATGTATCCAAAAGCTTACAAACCTTGACAAAAGAGAATCTCCCTTTTTCATATTCTTTTTTATTGCTTTGAGAGCAATGACTCTTTCAACATAAACTGCCAATCTCACTAGAGCTCACTCTTTGATATGTTCGTCCACATCTCTCTCTCTCTATTATACCAGTGTATTTTTTTGGGTTCTTTTATGTGTTAAAGTAGAGAGAGTGTGTGTGATAGATATGGAAGAAGAGAACATGGAGGAGTCTCCACAAGAGTGGCAATATTGCAGCCAGAGAGTGATCTCACCAGAGATTGTGGAGATTGGAGAGGATAGCAAGAGTATGATAAGTAGCAGAGATGGAGGAGGAATTGATGATGTCTATGTTGCTGTTGGCAAAAATGACTTGAATGTGGTTAAATGGGCTCTTGAGCATGCTGTCTCTCCAGGATCTCGCATCTTCCTTGTTCATGTTTTCCCTCCCATCACCTACATCCCTACGCCCGGTAACACCTAAATTTTCCTCTGATCTTTTTGTGTGTTGTAAACAAATTCTACGACTTTCTTCGAATAACCAATAAAAGGTCGATAATAGTTTGTTAAATCCAAGAAAGATCTCAATTCAGTGACCTGAGTGGGTGTAGGCCACTACTCAAGAATAGCCTTGACTTTTCTCTGTTCTGGCAACATGTTTATGCCCAATACGATGCCAAAAACGTAATCACAGTCTGAGCGAAGGTGCATTTTTCATGCTTCAAATACAATTCATGCTCACGGAGGTTAGCCATCACCATAATCACACCACGGTTATGTCTTTTATCATCTAAATTAGACAAGAAAACATATGAAGATTGTTAGTTAGGGAACCATATTTAGGATCCTACAATCCTTACCATAGAATGTTGAAATGAAGTGTCCCTTTGGGATTGGACAGACGTTGTTTGAAAATAGAGGGCTAATTTGTCTTGGAAGTACAAGTCTTTAAAGCAATTGGAAGAACTGTAATTGTAAGGAATATGTGTCCCAGGCAATTTCTGTCTCACCCTGAAGACCTAGTCTTACATTAACATCCTCAGAGGAAATGCTTAATTGACCAGTATGGGAAGAAACTACTTAACTTAATACCATGATTTCTTGAATCACCCCTTTAACGGGGTTTCTAATGAGCTTTATCGGTTGAATATTCTGTGGTTAGTTGGAAGGCTATCAAGAAGTCAATTGAGCCAAGAACAGGTACAAGTCTATGTCAATGAAGAGAGTAACAGGAGAAGAAGTCTCTTGCAGAAATATATTTGCCTGTGTACTGATGCCAAAGTGCGTAACAAGTGCAGCCAGAAATTTTTAGTCATTTCATTACAGTTTGCAACAAAAACAGGTTGATGATGATTGATGAGAGAAATGGTTTTTTGGGGTTCAGGTAGCAGTGGACACGATGATTCTGGAGAGCAATTCGGTTGCTAAAGCAATTGTTGATCTAATTTCAGTCGTTAACATTACAAATCTTGTCATGGGAACATCTTCCTCAAGGTAAATGTTCCGTCTTTGTTTTCTCCATCTTCAGTTGTTACTTTAAGATTCATTTGGCTTGTGCTTAGTTATATTAAAGGGTATAGGCAATTCAATGGTATTACTGTTTTTGCTTCAGGCGATTAAGGAAAGGACTTGGAAAAGGAGAATTTGTTCAGAAAAATGCGCCAGACTTCTGTGAGGTCACCATTGTTTGTGATGGGAAGAAGGTAATCAGTAATCAACAGCAGCAACTAACAGAGCCCGATCCTTCTCCTCCCTCTTCCAGTCACCGGAAACCCGAGATTAACAGACAATCTGAGAGGAATTTTTACTGTATATGCTTTTCACCTAAGTTTAACTGAAGCTGCATTATTCCTTTGTATTGGCCAATTACCAGAACAGGTCTAAAAGGTACAATTATATTTTTTGTAGAATAAAAAACACGGTTCAGAGGCCAATGCCATAGAACAATTTTCACTTGTACTGTGAGGGAAGACAGTGAAAACATCATGATCAAGATGCAAAATACTGGGGGAATAATCTACTGACAATCTTGAGGAACTGAAAAAAGAAACCCTCTAGGGCATTATGTTTGCCTGATGAGAATTGCTAACATTCAGAATATACAAACAAAATTCAATGCAAATGATTAAACTCTGAATTGAATTTTGATTACAAGTTTCCATAGGATCAATATTTTCGTTTCAAAACTATAGAAATGGACGAAACTTTTTTGTTTTCAAAGAAACTAAAATGAATCCACGATTGAATTGAAATTCCAATGCTGCGAGTGTTTCAGAAGATTTCTAGGTGTTTCAAGATGTTTTTGGTATATTTCAACCAATGTTCCGTAATTTTTCTAAGTGTTTTTAATATGTTTCGATATATTTTGATCAATAGTTGAGAATAAGTTGAAAAAAATTCCTAAAACTTTTATCCATTTCTCTGCTTTCGAAACTTTTTTGAAATGTATCTGAAACATTTTTATTTCTAAGGTGATCGAAACAATGTCACGAAATGAAATTTTGATCCTTAATACTAGTGTAATAGAACTCTGAAAACAAAAACAATTCTAGACAATGATTCTGTGAAGTGGATCTCCTGTGGACTATGAACATATTGCAATCTTATAACATGAATCAACAGGAATTCATTACACTCTGATTTCCACTCCAATACATCTTAATACGATACAAGTAATTATAAACCACATGAAATTATCTTGAAGAAATTTTGATTCTCTTGCCATGGAATGGACCAGGCAAACTAAAGCCTCAGCAATTGACCTGGCTATGCTAGCCCCGCCCAAATTTTGGGGCCCACAGCCCATCTAGGGCATAGCCTGTAGGGTATAATTGGTCCACGGGCTGGGAAAAAAACAAGGTCCACTCCCTGCCCATGGGACAACCTATTGGGCCAATGATAATGGCCCGTTAATCGGGCTTGAAACAGGCTTTTTTTTGACAACTACACTTCCCTCAATTCCGTATGCTGTCTCATCTATAAATACACCAGAACCCTAAAGCAATACTTCCTCCGCCGCTCAACGCAAACCCTAACCAGCACCAGAGCCTAAAATGACGACCCGCTTTAAGAAGAACCGTAAGAAGCGCGGCCACGTGAGCGCCGGTCACGGACGTATCGGCAAGCACCGGAAACATCCTGGCGGTCGCGGAAACGCTGGAGGTATGCACCACCACCGAATCCTCTTCGACAAGTACCATCCTGGTTACTTCGGAAAGGTCGGTATGAGGTACTTCCACAAGCTTCGCAACAAGTTCTTCTGCCCCACCGTCAACATCGACAAGCTCTGGTCGATGGTTCCTCAGGATGTGAAAGACAAGGCCAATCAGAGTAATGTTCCGATGATTGATGTCACTCAGTTTGGGTATTTCAAGGTGCTTGGGAAGGGTGTCTTGCCCAGTGAGCAGCCGGTGGTTGTCAAGGCTAAGCTCATTTCGAAGATTGCCGAGAAGAAAATTAAGGAGGCTGGTGGGGCTGTGGTCCTCACCGCTTAGGTCTGTTATTGTTATTCGATTTTGTCTGTTAGGGTTTTGAAGGTTTACTGTGTTTTGGGATGCTTTGGAGATGTTATACTTTCGCTTTAATTAATCTCAACTTGCTTTTTTTTTTTTTATTATAGATCTGTCCATTTTCCTAAATTTGTTGATCTATTAATGGGAAATGCGATGATATTATCAGTTGCCTATATTAGTGATATTGTGTGTTGAATGGAATTTATTTTTTGTTGATTTGGTGGTTAGGTTCCAGTAATTTTGGGCTGCTAATTTTTGATTCAATTTATGTCAATTGCTTTGCCATATTTTGTATATGAGTTTAAATTTGTATTGATATGTTTCTGTGGTGGATTTAGTTATACTTGATGCTTCTGCTTTGTGTCTAAAATAAGGGTTATGGTGGTTGAGAGTAAGTATGGAGGGAACAATGTGGAAATGTGTTTTTCTGTTTTCATTTTTGGTTTGGATGTATTTATGTTTGTTTGAGCATTTTGTCTGGTAATGTAGTTATACAAGTGGGGAAGAAGACTGGGATAGGGCCCAATTGCTGAACCAGCTCTGCAGTTCTTGTTTGAATGGCCGTTTGGAAATTGAACTTGTTTGCAATGCTGGAAATAAATGATTTTTTTTTTTGTCTGGTACCCCTCCTGATGTTCTCTCACAGTTTCTTCTTGTGCTCATATGTTGGTTCGGAATTGCTTGGGATGTGTCTGGTTCACTTTGAGGAAGGTGTATTTGTAGGACTTGCATCCTTCGGAAAGGCAAATAACAAAGGTATCAACTTAGTTTGAGTTTAGTGATGCTAGTTGTTATGTCTTACGGACTTTCTGTTTTTGTAATTGTTGCATGTCCTGGAGAGTCCTTTCTTCATGAAAATCGAAGGTGTTTTCCTTGAGATGAATTCAGTGAGAGACTGATGTTGTAGGTTGAAGTTATTAGAATCCACTTTATACAATACTAAACCATTTAGCCCTATGAATTTTTAAGATGGATTGATGAGTCGTACTTGCCAAAGAAGATTCTAAACAAGTTACATAATTCGCTTTATTTTTTGTAACCTCTTATCTCTAGAAAAATAATATATCTGCTAAACCTTTGGATTAGGCCAGTAGATGGAGAAAATCAAGGTATAAAAAGAAAAAAAGGGGGATAAAAGAAAAGGGGCTTAGGGAAAAGAGGAGGGTGGGAAGACCACTTGGTAATAGGTTATGCTGGATTTTATATTTGTCTACAGCTCAAGCGTGTTGCTAATTACACACAAACGTTCATATAGCCAACTATAAATGCTGTGTGGAAGATGGTAACCGAGGTTTGAAAACACTTGGTTTGATGTGGAATTTATTTAGTGGTTGAGTTTGCTCTCTAATTGTTTTTTCTATTGTCCTAAGCTCACCTCTTATAAACCAGTCAAAATATTCATCACCAACAGCCTAAATTGTGTGGTTGATCTGTCAAAAAATAAATTTACCCAGAATAACAGACTGGACTAAGCTTAGATGGCACATGGCAAGGAGAAAATTTTCTGCCATAGTTTTGATTTACGTTTCTTTTTCCTTTGTTTTTTGATTCTCTGGAAAGTACAAAATAGACTAAGAAAGTCTAACAAAAGAGATACTAGACAGATCCACATCTAGTTAACGGTGAAGCTCCATTGGTAGTGATCCGATCTTGACGAGCTCGTCTAATTGGCATTCTCCCAAATTGGCGAGAGCATTGGTACACTGATTACATTCCCGTAGCAAGTGACAGATACGATTGTTACTTTCTTTCAGCAGATTCCTACATTTAGTGGTTAACACCCTGCTTGAATAGCAAACTGCTTGTGTTTGTGAAAGAAGAGTACGCCTCAAAAGAGTCGGTTTCCAGTTCCACACCCATCAATCCCAACTCCTTGATTTACATTTCATGCATTAGGATGGCTTTCATCTATTGCAGTCTCAGGAACTGAGGATATCCATCTCTACAAGTACTTGTGTGGTTAAGGGAGGGGAATAGAACACAAAGTTATTACATTGAATGGCGAATGCGAGATGAAGGGTATACTCCATATTTAGACCGGAGGTAGCAGTGGTCGTTTCGGAAGAGAAAACAATTGGATTAGCAGTCAAAAAGTTCTCTAGAGAGCTTTACATGGAAATGCATCTGTTTTGATAGACGCTAGACAAAGTCATTTGAAAGCATCCTACGAAGAATGTTTGATTAATTTGAAAGGTCTTTTGAGGAAGAGAAGGTTTTCAAGGACCCACAATACTTTGTAAGCGTTTGCCTTGGTCGATAAATCCTAAAGGCTAGGGCGGTACTCTATGAGCGTGAAGTATGGGGATGCAGCTGAAAAGTATTTGAAGAGAACAACTTCGTTGCAGCCTTACTAATACATGTACTGAGATTGAGCTTTGCCCTGAATATGCATATGATAGAGTTAGTATTAATTTGCTATGTGATGTCTTTGGCATAATGGCAACTAAGGTCGTGATCATCAAACCTTTCAGAGACTTTTGGCTTAAGATCAAATATGAACTTGGTGGCATGTACAATTCAATTTTCTATAGTTGACGCTACTTGCTGTAGTGCCATGATCCATATAGCTATGCAGGGTGCTTTGTGTATATAAATTTCAAAATGTTAGTAGATCAATTGTGCAACTTTAATCAAAAGGTACAATTAGCGAGTGATTTTAGGTATTTAGAGTTTACAATATAGGTGAATCTAATATACTCGTGTTTTGAGGAGGTCCATTAAATGCCCAATTCGCATGTGGACACGTTGCAGATTCAATTTTATTGAAGGTGTCCATCTCATGGTTGCTAAATTGTGAAAAGGGCAATGCCATTTGGGACTTAATTTAGAATCCAACGGATTCCTTTGCAATTCATTGATCATAGTACTTTTTATCTTTAAATTGGATTCTTAAATTAAATATAAATAGCATTATTGTTGTGATAAATTTATAATGTTGCTCTTAGTTTTTGTCCAGTTGTTTCCAATAAAAGCTGCTCTAAAAAGCAGCATTTTAAGTCAAGAGTCAGAATGAGTCCATTCCAACAACAAAGGTTAGCTGTGAACTAGTTTATGTAATGATTAGTGGAGGTGCCAGTTCAGATGAAAAAAAACAAAACAAAGAAAAATGAGCAGTGGAGGTGAATGAGGAAGGTGCATTAGCTCTAATGAAAAAAGTAAGCATCATTATCGAGTGGATATCAAGTTGTTTTCCCCCTCTAAAAGTGACCACCCATGTTCATAGGATTGACTTACCCAAAAACTAAAGACATTCATATGATGGAGAAGGGAATCAGAGAGAGAGAGGTTTGTTTTGTTATACAACAGGTGTAATTGATAAAATAACGTAAATTTTGAAAGAAACCAGCACTGATATTGTTCCTAATGATGTCTTTTCAAGTTTTGAAAAGCATAATTAGGATTTGAGTCCTTTTAAGTTCCTTATGGAGGGCATATGCTGCTTGAAAATGAATGATAAAGGCTTTTCAACTGTTGATCTTCTTTGTTTTTCATCACTAGACATGATAATGATCACTTAATATCGTCAAAACAAGGACAAGAAATCTGCTTAGAGAGGAATTTTCGTCGCTAAGAAAGAAATTACAGTAAGTTATAACGTATCCTTGACTTTTAGCAAAATTATATTGGACACTTCTAGATGTTTCACAAATGACATGCAAGATTGGGGAAAAAAAATAAGCTTTAAATTTCATTCTTGCCTTTAATTTTTTGATTTTTAACTCGCCTAAATAACAATAAAACTTATGCATTCCGGCTCGTGACATATTGTATAAACTCCAATTCCTTGAATGCCAATTATCTATATCTATACTACTAATAAAAGTCTCTAAACATGAAAAACTTTTGTTTTCCTATTCCACCTCTAATTAATCCTTTAATATCAACTTTATCCTTTGATGCTAGAAACTTTGATCACACATAATCATTTTCTACTATACAATTAATGAAATATTTAAAAGGTCACTATTATTTATCTCCATAAGACACTTTCAAAAAAGATGATCAACTTTTCAATTAATCCGACTATGGTTTTATGGTGAGGGATCAGGGAAGGCTATAACAATTGATTTTACATCCCATCAAATGTGCATACTCACACACATATACACATTTTCATATGAATATATGTATAATACTATGTGTATATGTATATATTGCATACAAAATACATCTAATTGAAAAATCTTGGATTTTTAGTTTTACCGTTGATTGATATTTAAAAGTCAATTTTATCTTGAACTAATAACTATAATATATAATTTGAGTTTGGGGGTCCAACCATGGTAATGGAAAGCTATGATACTAAAAATATATTATTGATACCATAGTTGGTTTTAGGAGCTGGTAATTTTGGGATGAATAGAGAGTGTGCATTAATTGAGTGTATCACTTGCCAGAATTGGAGTGGTCTCCTATTTCTGTGCTTAATAGTATACAATGAAAGTCACTAACATTTAGACTCTACTATTCTTACAATAAATAATCAATAATATTAGTATCTTATTGCAGCTTCAATCATTTCTTTTTCTCATGTTTGTCATAGTTTGTCTCTTGGAAAATAGTTTTTAGTTTTTAATTAAAATTATTTATGTTTTATAATGCTAGCCCCATAGGATTCTAGAAGTCTTGGTATTGATACAGTAGGTATGCAGTCTTGTTATAATATTCATATTAGTTTTTTAATTGCTTTAAAAAACCTTTCTTGCAAGACTTCTTTGTGTAGCAGCTGAACCAATCTTGGGTTTTCTTGATTGTTGGATACCACGACCTTATTCTTCTATTCAACTTTATGTTTCGTCTGGTTGGAGACTGGGAGCTCTTGATTTTGCTTTCTTGATTTATTTCTTGTGTGTGAGATATTTACTTTGATTAAATTTTTTTTTTTTTTGAGATCCTACAAATATAATCCTCAATTTGTAAGATGGTTTAGACAAAAATAAATTTGTCTGGAAAAATGTTCTACTTTTATACCCTCTCTTAGGGATATTGAGATTTCACACAAAGCGGCTGACTTCTTGATGTATTTTTTTGATCTCTGGAACTCTTGTTCTTTTTCGATTTTCATTTCCGATCCAATCAATTCCCATGAATTTACCTGTAGGCTACTATTTGTTCATCTAGGTAGTTAACCCAAACTTCTAAACATTGTTATGCTATCTGATTTTACAAGTAAAAAGGATCAATGTTGTTACTTTATCTAGGTCGTGACTGTTATAGCACCAGA